TTAGATTTTCATTTTAAAGTTTCCAGTAAAAATATTAATAAATATTTTTAAAAGTAGTGTTTTTTTTTTATTCAGCGTTCCTTTAAAAAAATTTATGCTTTAGATTTATTTATGGATTGAATAATAAACTGATATTTATTTATTCATACTGTTAGAAATAAATAAATTTTTAATAAAAGTTTTATTTTTTCTATTTGTTTAAGCGGAATAATATAAAAGTCGGAATTGGAGAAAAATATTTTTTTATTAACGTAGATAGAAAGGTTTTAATCAAAATTTCAAATAAATTTTCTTCAAAATATATATAGAATTTTTTATACTTGTAAAAAAAGTGACCTTAATAAATATTTCATGATTTTACGATGCATTTTCCTTTCTATTTTGAAATATCTAGGAAAAAATATCATTATGAGAGAGTAGATTATCTCAGACTTGTCTTTCTATTCAAGTTTGATAATAATGTTTTTTTATTCTTTCGATTAGGGGATAAATTTATTAAAGTTAAAGATCCAGTTTTCTAAATTTAACAGTTTAAATGTCGTATTAAGAAAGAGAGAACCAGATAAATTCATTACTAAAGAACATCTAAAGACATTAAAATGAAAACATTAGCAATATATATATATATATCGCGCTTTTAACGAAGTTCCATTTTTGAAACATAGGAATTTGACAAAGAGACTTTTGGCTGACAGTGGTCAAGATCTCTTCATCTGCGTTCCAGTACATATCTACGCTTGGAACATAGTGGTTTAGAAGTCCATGACAATGCAAAACAACATTTTGGGAAAGATATTCATAGTTTAAACGGTTTTAAGCATAACTTGATTATATATTGAAGAGATGTTCCAGATATTCTCCAGTAATAGTTTTTAAAATTGGTTTACTGCAAAACCCATTTTAACTCATATCAAGGACTAAAATTTCTATTCATTAACCTAGTTTTTGAAGTACATTTAAATTGGTGTTTATAAACTTAGATGTAGGTGTGATTTAGCCACAACTGGTTCCTTAGCCTATAACTCCTAACTAATTAATTTTAAAATCAGTCAATAGGTCAGTCCACATTTGTCTCTGGGACTTAATTTCCCCCGACATCATCTCCAATATTACTTTTAAAAACAATATTCGACAAATATAAAATGGAATAATAGACTTTAAGTTATTTTCTTCTGTTTTTCGAATCAATGAAAACTCACGGTTTATCAGGCTCTACAGTGTTAGATTTTTTATCCTAAATTTTGCGGTAAAATGACCGATAGCAGTCTACCCATCCAATTAACTGTAAAGTTTAAGATAAAGAACAGGTTTTACCTTTACGGTTTTGAAACCGTTTACAACTAGTATACTTAAAAAAACCATGATTACTAATCTGAATGCTCGCGCCTATAGAGAAGATATCCGTGATGTTTTTGTAAGCCCTCATGTGGGAGTAATAAATATTGCCTTCGTTCTACAGGACGATGATGCTACACCACACACGGAATAAGACCATGTTCGATCATTTTCAACAAAAATAATTCAGTGCATGAAGTGGCTACCTCGAAGGCAGGACTTGAATACTATCGAACAAGTTTAGATTGCTTCAGAAAGATGTCCGGTTGCTCTTAATCGTCCTTCTTAGACCCTTGCTATGATTACAGGGGAATTTTTGCAATTCCAAACGGTGTCATCTGATTCGTTTATTTCATACATATGCTACTTTCTATAGCATCAATATTGGATAATTTCCGGTGACGTCACGCGTGTATCAGCCAATCTACGTTACGACACACGCGTGATGTCATTGATCCGAAAATTAATTTGGCATGATCCAGGCCATGACACTGAAATATAAAATAGCCGTACACAACTGCGTAATTACGCAAAACTAGTGCGATTTGTTGTAAGTATCTAATTGTCTGATAATTACCTTTGTTGTTATTTTATAAATCAGTATGAGCACTAAAATGGGTCTAAGTTTCAGTAAAATGTTTATGAAAGTTTTTAAAGCTTTCGTCATTTATGATTTTTCGTCAGTTTATGAAAATCAGTGTATAAATAAATTATACATATTTTGTCTTTATAGAAATAAAATTATTAAACTTAAATAAAATACAAGTAAAAAATTTAAAATCAGCAAATTACTTAAAAAAAAAAGTTCTTCTGAAAACGACCGAATGTGTTATCTCTTTATAAAAGTTTTGACAATTTATGGATGCAAATTATCTGTAAGAGGTTTATACAGTTATCAATAAATTCTGTTAAAACAGGCTACTACATCGAGCATAGCCTAAATGTATATTTGTTCTCATTACTTGATTACTGATGCAGATTAACCACCATTAATGACTGTATTAAATCTAACTAAACTAGTAGATATGGCATCTATGCTAATATAGAATTATTTATTGAGTCCAGTGATGTGGGGCACATGTCGCTGCATGTTGAATTTCTGCTCAACCGAATTCCCAAACTTCGCTGTCTTCGATAATGGGAAACTGAGACTTTACCATCAACACAGCCATTATCCTTCTGCACAGTAGAGTACAGTTAAACAGATTACGATTATTATCCGAAGCATTGATCGTAATATTTGAATTTCGAATCAGCAATCATGCTTTAGGATTGCCGTATTTATGAGTATACAATGTTCGATTTAAATGTTCTTTGGCACGGACACTTAGAATTCGAATTTTAAATAAGGTAACAATATTAAATGTTAGTTACTAACTATCTGTGTCTTAAGATTAATTTATTAAAGAAAAATTTATGCAGGAAAAGTTTTTTTTTATGAACTATGGAAAAAGTTTATTATTTATGTTAAAGTTTTGGATTACCACAAGAGGACTTAATACAGTCCAAATTTCGATTTTACTTTTCCAAATACATTATAATCAAACTATTTGTAATGTAAGCATATTTTTACGCGTTGTGTCGTAGCTTAGTAATTATATAATTGATATCCGTTGAATTTTAAGCATTATATTTAAGCTTATCTACCTCAACTTTTAAAAATACATAAAAATTTTACCAATAAAAAATAAAGAATTTACAATTTATTACAGGAATCATGGAAAAAAAAATATTATATACCTTAAAATGAGTCATCAGTTTGGGTTATTATATGATGTATATGTTACCGGCAAAGTTTGAAATCCGGCATTATATAGAATGCCTAGAACCATTAAATGTATACCACTGCCCGGTATACATTTGCCCGCTATGCCCTATACTTATGTTTTTTTAAGATCCAGTGCCACTGCCCGTTATACATGTGCCCGGTATATCCTAAACTGATATTTTTTTTAAGATCAAGTGCCATTGCCCAGTATATATTAGCCCGATACTCCAAACACTGATGTTTTTTTCTAATCTATCGTCAGTAAGTATTAAAATATCGAATAAATGTAATTATATCCACGAATAAATTAATATCAAATCGGATGTAATAAATATTTCGGACATTCACCAAACCCACCATCTGATTGCCAACATTCACAGGTGAAAGTCAATAACCACTGATTTCAGTCATTCACAGTAACATGCACATCATTTACATAATAACCTCATCAGGACGTTTATTTCATACTTTGCTTAAATAGCATTTGTCATTCTTCAGAATGCATAGGCATTATTTACAATGCCTAGGGAAAGTATGTAATACTTCTCATATTTTATACTTTACCTAAAAACATCCGGCATTATATAGAATGTCTAAGCATTGTATATAATGCCCGTGTTTCATACTTTGCCGGTAACATATACATTTCAATTTTATACTTTCTAGAACATTATAATCAAAAACTATCTATCTTATTTTATAAAACACTAATGCGTGTAGAACCGATGAAATTTCTCCAACAGAGAATTCAAAACTGTAATACCAAGAACAGTATATACTGAAGTAATACTGAATTACCAACCCACACAGTAAACAATTCATGATCAAATTACGGTAAAAAGTACCGGTACTAAGGGTGTCATTCCTTTTTACCGTAAAATCTATTTTTTCCAATCCAAGTATTGAAATATTTGCAGCATTATTTACTGTAAATAACCAAATCACAGCAATTAAATTAATATTATCGTAGAAATTTTGGCATGAAATTTTATGGTAAAATGAATTTTACGGATGCTGATCTCAAAGTGCCAGTATAATTTTTATCTTGATTTGATCCGGTATTCGTTTACATTGCATAAGCATGAAAAACTAAACATCTAAAAAAAACATCAGCTCAAATAATAAATAATAACTAGTTAAAAAAACAAAATGACATTGAATTTAAGCATAAATTATTTTCATTTAGATATGTTGTAATACTGTTGACTGAAGTAATTCAATTAGAATGTAATTCAATTTAGCAACACTTTATTATTATTTTTAAAGAATGAAAGAATGAAAAGCGTTACGAAAAAAAAAAATCTCACACTATTATTATAGTCTGTAATTATCGTCATGTACCTCGTAAGGTATCTACTGTATCCAGAGGATGAGCCTCATGTTATAGTTTAAATACTTGGTAACACTGTGAGACTTAACTAAGAAATTGTACAATTTATTCTCCCTGGAGTTTGCAACAATCCGCGTAAAATATTATCTGCATCTCTATTTTTGCAAATGCATACGAGATTGATAAAAATGTGCGATAACGTATGTACATTTTAAAGAACATTTGCTGTTATACTGAAATAATGAGATCTCTGTAGATAAAAGACCATCATATCTAAAGGTTGCCTTGTCTCATATCGAAAAATACTCACGATAACAATTTATAAAAGCTTTTCTCCAAAATATTCCCATAAATCATGAACGATTTAATAAACGTTAAGAAAATATATATTTCCTTTATATAAATCTTGGTTTAAAGCTATTTTTGTACAATAAAATGTAAAAGTAACAATATATTTTATTCTAATATAACAATCTGATTTCAAATGTATTGTTTTGTATCAAACAAATCTTAAACAATATTTTATTGTTGAGTGTTTAAATAAAAAAATACATTTTTTCTTTATAGGTATCTGGAAAATCAAAGAAGAATTCAAGTGAATATGAATAATTTGGTAATTTATGAAGATATATCATTGAACAAACTTACGACAGTGAAAACTGCACATTATATTGTTCAAATGACAAAAACGCTTTAGTTTTCAGCCAGTTACAGACCAATTAAACTATCGCAACATTATTTTTTTGTGACTTATTTACACCAAAAACGAAGTTTCTTTTGAAGAATCTACAGTTTTTCTCTACATATAGATATTATTATCACCTTTACAAATGACAATTAAAAGCGCACAGATTTAGACTGTAATTGAACTATTATTTTGATTCAACAAGTGGAAAGAATGTCCTCAAAATCATCTCCTCCATGTTTCATACTTATTTTACTTCTCATAATCAGGAGACTAACAGGTAGGATACATTTTATTATTAGTTAGAATAATATATTTTATAATTTAATATTTTTTAGTAAAATATTGCCGAAATATTAAAGTTTAAATTTTCACGAAAGAATTATGCATGCACGAAGCACGGTTAACCGATAGCTGTATAGCATGAAGCTCTCTTTTTTTGAATATGGGTCTTCCGTTTCTATAAACAATTTGGTCTGGCAGTGGCTTTTGTTTGTACAAAAGCCGTTGTTTAGTTTTTCCGGATAAATTGGGAACGAATCGTCGTGAAATTTCGTATGAGAATTGGAAACTCCGTCATTGAAACTTATCTTTAATTACAAAAAGTGTATGGTAATAAATGTTTATCTTGTGCGCATTTAACTTAAGCGTTTAAATGTCAGAGAAGACCTTACGATAACTCACATCCATGTTACTTTTCTATACCGTAAACGGGTGAAAATATCGAGATCAGATCAACGCTTAAGCGTTTATGAAACTATAGAAATTGACAAAGAATGCGTAAAGCAAATTTTACGTAACATTTTTAGCATAAATTAGTGCTAACCAGAAACTAGCGCTAGTGCTATTCTATCTAACCAACGCGCCATCTCATTTTACAGTGCCTCTCAAGTCGTTTCTAGCCACGTAGAACACCCCAGTGTTAGACCATTAATCTTATTTTTTTGATCTTGCACCATGCGATTTTTATGTATACTGCAAAATTTTGCCTGTATTAAAAAGAAGATTTCAGTTCGTTGAAGCTGTGAAAGGAAAAGCTGCACATGCCATAAAGGATCATGTAAAGCCAAAAAAAGCTGCACTGGTTAGAACAATGGGGATTCTGCATGTAGATTTGTAAGGGTGGAGAGGATTTATATAAGGATTACCTTAAAGTTATACTAAAATTGTTTATTACAAAAATGTATAAATTCAGAGAAAAAAAATTTATAGCAAAAGTCTCGCAGCTGCCACAGATCGTATGAGAAAGTAACTGGTTTTACCATGACTAAGAATAGTTTCTTTATGCATTCGCATTTAATACTCAAATATTTAAGACACTGGATGCATGTTTAAAAAATATTTTTAATAATTATTTTAATTAATTTCATGCTTCACTTATGGAACCAATTTATAGAACTCTAGTTAAGACTTTTTTTTTCGTTCTAAACTCCTCAGCAAGTGATAATATAAAGATTAACTATTCATTCATGCCAGCATTTTCTGCAAAATTTATTAAATTTTCTCCCACGTCGGGTAGACATTTACACACATTTGTGCTTGTTACCATTTAGAAAAGTAGATATTTGAGCTTTAAGTGACTGTTTTAAATGATACTTTTGCTTATTTAGAAGCTTGTTTATTGAAATAGTTTTTTTTCAGAATAAAGTAAAGATATTAAACTTGGTTTTGATAAGGTTTGTGTTATGCAAGAAAACGTATACTTCTTTTTAATCAAAATCTGTAATTATGCAGCCAAATAAAACATTTTAAGTTTTTAAGAATTAATTATTACAAAATTTCCTTTTATTAATACTTATCTGCTAAAGTAAACAAATCATTCATGTTTATTTTCATTTTTCTATTTTTGTGTTTATTCCTTTTTTTACAAAAAAAAGCATATTTTGTATACTTTGCCACTTCTTTGTGAATCACTTTTGAAGACAAAAATCTAAAACTTCCTTTTCAAGCTTATTCTCATATTTTTCTTTTTAATCAAAATCTGTAATTATATAGCCAAAAAACTAATTTTAAGTTTTTAAGAATTAATTAGGAGAATAGTTTCCTTCATTCATACTTATCTGCTAAAGTGAACAAACATTCATGTTTATTTTCATTTTTCTATTTTTGTGTTTATTCCTTTTTTTTTTACAGAAAAATATTTTTTGTATACTTCGTCGCTTCGTCGTGAATTATTTTTGTAGACAAAAATCTAAAAATTCCTTTTCAAACTTATTCTCATGTTTCTCTTTTTAATCAAAATCTGTAATTATATAGCCAAATTACTCATTCTAAATTTTTAAGAATTAATTAGGGCTATAGTTCCTTTCATTCATACTTATCTGCTAAAGTAAACAAATCATTTATACTTATTTTTATTTTTCTATTTTTTTGTGTTTATTCCTTTTTTTTAAAAAAATAATTATATACTTTGCCACTTCTTTGTGAATCATTTTTGAAGACAAAAATCTAAAAATTCCTTTTCAAACTTATTCTCATGTTTCTCTTTCACTTTGTGTTTGAATTTACTTTGCATTTGCTTAGCTTTANAAAAAATGTACTAGGTAAAAATGTATTTAGTAAAAAATGTATTAAGACAAAAATGTATTATTAGTGGAAAAACGTAATAACAAAATCCAACATTTTTTATTTAAAATGTATTAAATATAAATGAATAAAACTCGAAAATGAATGAAAATAACTTCCTAATTAATATTTTTATTCATTTTTCAAAATACAGTTGGACTTCTATTTAACGAACTTCCATTTTACGAATTTCCCTATTTTACGAATTTTTTCGAGGAACCGAGAACATTTTGGAAATTTCTTCGTAAAATAACCTCCAAATAAGGAAGTGAATTTTCTATTTAACGAACTTTCCACTTTCCCTATTTTCCAAAATATTTCCGAACATTTCAAACTTGTTAACGCATTTTATGGGGGAAATGACCCTGAATTAATTTTCGAAGCCACTGCTCTATGAAATGTATTACTGTTTTCGCTAAAAATTATCTTAGAAAAAGCAGTAAATTACCTGTCCTTTTTTGTTTGCATTTCAAACGAAAATCTCAGTTCAAATTAACGGATTTTATAAGAATAGCAATTAAACTTAAGAACGCATGTGGTAATGTACGTTTAAAATTACTTTTATAATAAATGCAACTACATATAATTTTATTCATAAATTTAGCCTTTTCTTAGTTGAAAATGTATATAGCATGATAGTGTAACACTGGATAATGTTTTGCTCTATTCTTGCTTTCATTGCAGATTTCTTTTATGGTTAAAATTTATAAAATAAATAGATAGTAGTTTACAAGATAAAAGTACATCAATTGCTATTTTAATAATTATGTCTAGTGTTTATGAATTTAAAACCTGTTTTGTGTTGCTTAAGTATTTTAAAAGGTGATTTTCTATTCAACGAATTTTCCATATAACGAACTTATTATCGGGATTTAGCGACTTCGTTAAATAGAGGCCCGACTGTAATTGCATTTTGACAGCAAATTTTTTTATATTTTTTTATGTATTTTTTTTTTTAAAGCTTACCGAGTTTTAGAAAAAAGTAACAATTTCATTCGACATTTCCGTTACAAATACTTGTACTTTTTCCCAAAAAATGTAACGAAAGTACAAGTAAAAGTACTAAATTTAAAAAGTAACGAAGTACAAGTAAAAGTACGTACTTTTTACTTGTACCGGCGGTACAAGTAACGAAAGTAAAAGTACTGCCATATATGATTATAACTGTTATATTATTCTTTGCAAGACACGAGATAGGGATTTCTTGTAAGATTTCCCCTATTCAAATCCCTAACATTTAAAATAGAGCATAATAATATCAGTGTGATTTGGATTTTTGCGCTCCTTACTATGAATACAAAACAAAACCTTTTCGTCTTTTCAGACACATGATTGATTTATATTAAACTATTTCTTACCATAATTTAGCATTTGAGAAGAGTTTCTGGTTTAACCGTCATAACAAAAGATCGCCGCCCACACATATTTGGAAAATTTCAAGGATTAGCTCTTAAAGCAATGATTTTCAATGATTAGTTCCTAATTAGCTTTATATTTTAGTTGCATTGAATTATCACCCCCTTCTTTACATGTGATATTTATTATAATTTATCTATCCCTTCATAACTTTAATATTTGATTAATCATAATATTTGATTAACCTAACTCCATGCGTCATGCCAAGCGTAAGAGTTTCTCTATTAAAAAAAATCGCCAACAGTTTAAAATTAACTAATTTTTAAAAAAAAACTATCAAAAATTTTAACTAATTATTTAACTTGTCTTTCACCTAACAACCCATTCCCTTTCTTTTTTTAAATCGAAAATATACGTCAGGGTTAAAAAGAATCAAACTGTTTTAAAAATAAAATCATTTCACTAATGTTCTTTTCTGAGATAAAATTTATTAAAGTTTTTCAATTATATATTTCATCTACTCGACTTCAATAGTAAGATAAGCACCCAATGGATTGCTGGTGATGTAAAAATAGCATAACGCAATTTATATAATTGATTTATATAATTGATTTATTTAGCGAAGCAGAAGTAAATCTGAAATTAAAGTCTTATCTGGCAGTAGAAAAAAAATCTTTTCGTTGCGTAATCACCCTTAAAGGGGTTCTTAAAACAAAAGACACAACCTATGACGTAAGTAGAGTACTGTGTTATGTAATACGCCAAAATATCATCGTTTATCATTACTCAAAGACAATTTTCTTTGAAAAAAATAGTGCATCGTCACATTATGAAATAGCTTCAGCACACTAACTGCTTATGAAAGAAAACTAGCCCAAGGGTTCTATTACTAGCTATATGCAAACAAATTCCGCAATCGAATGATGACCCTATGACGTCATAATTCCGTGAATGTTAGTAAGGTATATAACGAGATCTTGTTTCTCTCCGGAATTAAATTCAGACGAGAAACAATTGCAGATTCCATTCTGGCAAGTTCAGAACAAACTAACTCGATATCCAGTTGGAACATCGGAAATTATCTATTAATATTGTTATTTTTCTAAATTCTAATGCCTTATTAATCTTTTTTGTTCTACACGCAAAAATAAAAAGCTTACTTAAATTTTCCACAATTTTTCACTTAATACTGAAACAAGAATATGATAAATAACTATTGTACTGTACATTTTTTAAACTAAAATAAAATTGTGTTTCATTATCTAATCATTTGTTTTAATATATGTATTAGAATATTGGATTAAATTAATAATTAAAACAAATATTTTACTTCCTTTTCATATTAATCTAATTTTAATT